GAACTTAATAGCCCTTTGCCTCCCCTAAGTAATATAAGAGATTAAATCTTAAGGCGATAATAGCTTACCCGCTAGAGCTCTCGCTTCTATATATAGTCTTATATTACTTACTCGCTATAAGGTCTCTTTATAGGGATTTTATTATATACTATAAGAGATTTAATTACCGCGAAGTATAAATAATTTACTTATATAGCTAATATAAAATATTAAATTATATTTTCTATTATAGAAAAGTATTATTATAATATTAAGTAAGGCTAACTCCCTCGCTAAATATAATAATAAATTTAATATTAAGAAAAGACTTTAATAAGTTTATTAAGCTAGCTAAGATAAGTGCCTTCTTTAATAAGATTTACCTTTATTACTAAATAAGGCTAACCTAAGATATAATTATATCCGCTCCCTCTTTTATTTTCTTTTCTCTTCTTTTATTACCTCTTTCTATTATATAGGCTCGGCTAGATAGGGAGCTATAATATTCTCTATCTAGCTATGGCTATCCTTAACTATAGCCCTCTATTATAACTATCCTAGTTATAAGCTGCCCCGCGGCTATTATTTACTAGCTATGCCTAGACTGCCTGCTAATAGGTAATAGGCTCGATATAAAGCGCTATTTATGCCGATTATATGCTAGATAGGGGATATTATATAGTTAGATTATAGATAGACTCCCGTAGCTTAGTATATCTTACGCTCCCTTAGAAGACTTCTAAGGCCTTATAGCCTCCTGGACGAAAAATATATATATATACATACATATATACATTTTACTAAAATATACTAAAATTACTAATATAAAACGGTAGGCTAATATTATTTTAAATAGCTTTAATTTTACTTTATTTTACATTAATTTATATTAATTTAGTTTAGTAATATTTTGTTTTATTCGGAGCGCTATAATAGATATAGACTAACTATAGGTCAATCCTAAAATCTCTTACTATTAGCTATTACTCTCTCTTCGCGGTTTAATCTATTATCTCTCGCTTTACTTAAATTATAGCTACTAGCTCCTCCTAACCGGAAGATTATATCACTTTTCCTCTCTACTCTGCCTTTATCCCTCGTTTAGCGCTATAAAGCCTATTAATACGCGATATAAGCTTTACCCGAGGAGCTTTAAATATACTTAGATAGCCTCCTAGATCTATAATTCCTCCTTAACTAAGAGCCCTAAGATATTTTCCCCTCGCTAAATAAATATCTCTTTAGCGGGCGCTAGATCTTACCTTATAACTTAATACCGCTATTTTATATTATACTAGGCGATCTTTTTCTAATAAGGCATTTAATCCTTCGTAACTAGATATAGCTAGGGTCTCTATAGTAATAACTCGCGGCGTAGGGTATATAAATAGGTATTAAATAAGTAAGATAGTAGCGTAGTAAGCATAGTCGAGATAAAAGAAGCGCTAATAAATATACTTTATAATATATTAGTATTAAGGGTTTATTAGCACCGCGGCTTTAGGTTTAAGAGTATAAAGCGATATATATCTATATCTAAGGGTCTTTTTTCTTTTCGGTGACCTAAGAAATATAATAATAAGCTTATTTACTTTTTTTATTAATTAGGGGAAAAAAAGGGAAAAGAGAAAGAGGTTAAGATTCTCTTACTTAGTTAGGTATATATTCTCCCTAGGCCTATATATCTATCTAATTAATCTATTAATCTATATTAATTTATTAATTTATACTTATTATTAGATAATTAGCTTTATAGGGATTATTAATAATATTAGTTAATTTATAAGAATTATCTAAAGAATAAAAGAAATTAAATAATAATATATTTAGGCATAGTTATTTAAGCTTATATTATTAGGATTAGAATCCTTAATATAATAAGCTAGATATAAAACTAGATATATAACCCTAAAGTATAGGCTATATTTTATATTTAGTTATATAGACCTAATAATAAAATATAATACCTATCTACTAAATAAAGAATAGGCCTATAGAGGCACTATTATTAGCTTAGGGACCTTATCTAGCCCTACGGAGGCAATAGGGTATAGATATATAGCCCCTAATTAAGCGGCATTTACCGCAGCATAGACTAGCTTAAGGGTTAGGCTTTATAATAGTCTATGCCGAGGAGGGCTAGTCTTAAATGGCGGGATATTTTTCTATAGGGGCGCGATATATTATTATTTAATAAAGTTCTTAAGTATATAATTATCTCTTTATAAAGCTCTTTTTCTTTAATAGGCCTTATTTATTCTTATTATTTATTTAGCGTTATATAAGGTATTATAGAACTATATAAATAATTAATTATTTAAGGTATTATTAGTAATATTAAGAGTAGCGATTAATACCTCTTTTAAAGATATAAAAAAAAATACTTAAAGGGATAGGTTAATAATATAAGCGATATAATAAATATAACGCTTAGAGGGATTAAATATTAATTAATAATTAATTAATCTTAATCTAGAGATAAGAAAAGGGTTATTATACCTAATAGTCTTCTTATAACCGCTATAAAAGATAAGATAAGTAAATATTATTTAAAGTAATATTATCCCCTATATAATAGCTTACTTTAGAAATAATATTATATTTTATTAATATATTAATAATTAGAGATACCTAGGTTTTATTATTATAGCTATAGTAATATTCTAGTATTACTAGTAGTACCCTTTATAGCTAATAATCTTAATTAATTTATTATATAGAAATAATAAGTATCTTATAGCGATAGGATAATATCTAGAGATTAAAGAGGATATAGATCTTTAAGATAAAAGCTTTAAGAGTTACTATAAGCTAAGAAGTAAAAAGAATATAACTTATACATAATATTAATTAATTATATTAAAGTACTTTAGTTAATTACTAAAAGGTCCTCTATAATAAGATTAGCTATTAATATAATCTCTTATATTTTATCTTAAGTAATTATTAAGAAGGTAAGCTAATAGTATATAATTAGGCTAATTATTATATCTAAATATCGATCATAGTCGAATATATAATAGAGAGAGATATCTAAGTAATAAGAGGGAAAGAAAGTATTAATCTAAGGATATTTAGCTTCTTTTTCATTATCTAGAATATTAGAATTACCCCTAATAAGTATATAATCAAGGGAAGAGACAATATTAATATAACACCGCCGGGCATAATATTATATATTATCTCGCTTTTGATTTGCCTAGGGCTTATTAATAGGGTAATAAAGTTATTAATATATTATTATACCCCTAGATTTACGCTTATATAACCCGCTAATAGTATTCTAAGTATTCTTATTAGGATATATTACTTTAAAGAAAAAGAAAAAGTCTAGAGATATCTTAGTAATAGGCTAATCTAAAATCGAGGGCATAAAGGTAATAATAATCTAAGATAATATTATAGTTAATAAATTACTTAGATAAGCTAATTATATTAGAATACCTAGGGCTATTTAAATAAATATTAAGATAATAATATTAATATTAAAAGAGTTATATTAATATTAATATATATTAATATTAATATATCTAGATAGTATAGTTAATATCGATATATTATATCCAAATACGCAGGTCTGTTTTGCCCTGTGGCGTGACGGCTTAGGTGCACCGTTACAAGATCCATTCTTCACCATGGAATATCTTAGCAACCCCTCATTTCTCCTCCCCCCTCACCATCCTTGATTGCTTTCCCAATAAGACAATACAGCGTGAGACACGGGATAACATCCCAGTTAAAACAATCACCCCCTCGTTTAGCCCAACAAAGGCTTATTTTAGCCCTACTACAAAGCCACGTTAATCGATTATTACTTTATCTTATTCTCAATTCCCAAGGTTAGTAACTCGCATATCTAGTACAGCCTCGGATTTGAAGCCAAATTCAAGGAAATTAAAATTAACCACTTCAAGCTTCGTTCCTCAAGGCTGCTTTGCGCAGCCCGCGATCGGGTTGCCTCTCCTGTTATGCGACATTGAGCTTCCAAACGGGGGTAGATATCTATAGGCTGTGATTGGAGGAAAAGTCGAAACGGGGCGCGTTTTGAGCAGGAATACTTGAGTAGGGCGGCAATTCTCTCCCTCAGACCATGAACGTTCGAGATATACTCCCTATACGTCTCGGAAATAGACTTGTTAATGGCTTCTGACAAGTTGTTTATGGCTTTGTATCTCGTACGATAGTCATCCTTCTTTTGGTCAATGGAAGTTGCCAATCAGCCCAGATTTGGCGCTTGATCCTGTAGATTTCGAGGGCTTCTTTCTGGGCATCCTTTGGAAGGAATTCCCAGCCTTCCTACGGCTCCGGTGGTTCTTCCGGATCCCCAGGGTCTTCCAATTTAATCGTTGAATCTTGATTGACACATTCCCAGATTTCTCAGCTTTTGGCGATGCGGGCGATATCGTCGAACCAAGGTGTCCAGTCCGATCGTCCGTTTAGACGGGTAATTAGGGCTATTTCCTTCGTTTCCTTGGTTGGAGACATCATGGCGGGTTTAGGAAGGCGATTTCAGCAGTATCGAGAGTGTAAATTTGCTTTCCTGATGAGCAGGCCTCTCCTGACCACGGTTATTGCGCAGTTGCTTAGTGAGAGCTCCTGATCTCAACACCACAAATTCTCTCACAACCTCCTAACTAGGAAATCGGAACGGCGTCTCTCTGACGGCGTGATCTGGGATTGATGTGATTGAGCAGTTGGTTGGGTCACACAAGCCGGCAGACCGGGCTCATAACACTCAGAAGTTTGAGGTGTGCAACATAGGTGCGGGCAGAAGAGATGATTGACATTGCCCTGCTTGATCCTATCTAAGGAAGCGACGAAGGTCGGTCTCTTGTACCTATGTTCAAACTGCCGATATCATAGGCAGCAGCCTGCTGCCTGATGCGAGTTGTGGTCATTCACTCTCACCGTGAGCCTTGCCTCATTTCTATCCTCACCCCAACAGGTTGTGCTGCGTATAGCTGCTCGTGCTGACATCGGGTGGCGCCTGGCTATGGCTGAACTCAGCACCTCGGATCTCGTCATTCGAGTTGTCGCCCGTCGGGCCTGTGTACTGCCATGTTTTGATCGGAGGACCGGTAAAGCCGAGCTGAACATCGGGGAAGCTGGGATTCTCCGGCATCGTTGGACGCGAGCCTCTGGAAGACACGCTTGTAGAGCGGTCGGCAGACCGGAATACCAATGCATACCATTGTTACGACGATCTCGGCGGCAGACCAAACGATCGCGCGGACGGTGTCCTCTGCTCACAGGTGGGTTGGTCAGTAATACCTCTTGGCCACTTTTGTACCGCAATCAGTCGGTGATAATAAGGAGCTACACACTAAGGTAATTCTTCTTGGTCAGGTTGGGTAACTCCATTGTCCTCTTGATACCGCAGGCGCCGGCACTGTGGTTGTGCGTAAGTCAGCATAGCAATGACGATAAGCCTGGTCAAGAAGTGAATCGTGACCTACAAGACACCGAGGCTCATACTGCCGGCAATAATAACCTTTTCCCTCTTGTTCATGTTAAGGTTCCAGAGTAATACCCAGGGGAAAATGGCGAAGAAGAAGTCGACAATGATGCAGAAAACTTTATGGGCATCATGTTAGCAATTAGACAAGAAGCCTTCGACTGCCGCATGGTGGTACTTCCGACTTCCTCGGTAGGCACGTACGTACTGGAAAGTGTGAAAGCAGCCGGGACGGACTTGATGTGGCAGAAGCCCCCCCGAATTCGGTGATCCCAGAGGTACGCGGGTGGAGTACATTGCAGCCAATAGACGAAGACGACCGAGATGGAAGTCAACATAAGGCCTGCCATGGTAGCCCAGATTGCCATCCTGTGCCATATCATGTTGACGCTGAGAAGGCGCAGGAGAAAAAGACCAAGAGAGCACTTCGCGACTGCCATACCAATAATGGCAAATGTTTGCCCGATTACCTCGAGCAGTACTGCCCGAACCGCATCCTCAACGTCTTCAATCTCGAACATGTTCTGGCCGAAGCCATAGTTTGCCGACAAATGTATGAACACTGTGTATAAGAGTAAGAGAATCTGGACAGACTCTATGAGCAAATGACTGCTTTGCAGCGATGGAGTTAAGGGCGGACTCGACTTACGAAGGCAAAGTTGTACACAAAGTCGTCGACACCAGAGGTTTTGACAATGACGACACGCGTGTAGACTCTAAGGATCACGAAGACGAGAGTGATGAATGTCAACGTCCACATAACACCTAACGCCCACGGTGCATCGCCCTCCATAGGCTTTCTCGAGTTGTCTTGCGACTTGTTCGACTGGGCTCAGAATTTCGATGGAAGTTGTCCAACCAAGATTAAAAATAATTAAACCCTCTATGATTTTCCTTGACCAATATATCACAGTTCTCTGGAGTTGCTGGGGCCCAACTGTAGCGTGCGAAAAAAGTTGGTAGATGACGTTCGGCTGACCTCATACCCGTGAATGTCAGTCGTCATCGCTGGCATAATTCCATACCTCCCTTCCGGCCGCCAATCAGGCGGCAGGCTGCCATGGATCACGTGTTACCATGAGCCATGCATCGCTATCCCTTGAGCTGTGGAAAACCTCCCGCCAGGTCACGGCGGGGGGGTGCAGCCAATTAAAATGCATCGCCGGGGCCAAGGGCCTCCTTGCACTTCTTGACCTCGGCTGCCCTACCGTAAGATCTCGCGAAATTCGAACACTTTTGACTTCGCTAGCGCCTCTTAGCCCGCCACAGCCGGGGCGGGGATGGGCGGCAGAACAAGCCCCCAACTAAAAATAGGTGGGCGGCTTGTTCCCATTTCCAACCTCATCCCTCCCTAGAAGCTACTTCTCAGATATCCCAATAATAAATAAATATATAATAATGCCATATTCTTATATATTCATAGCCATGCCCTTATATTCTTATCTATTCTTAAGCTTATAAATTATTCCTAATATAACTTAAGGGCCTACTTATATTATTATTATCACTTATAACTTTTATAACCTTATTATTGAGTTGGGGGAGAGGCGTGCTAGGCCGTTTTGGGCCATTGGGTAATTTCCTGTACGTAGAAAAGGGCCAAGGCCGCGGCCCTGACTATTATTACTATTATCTTCTTAAAGGATCGGATTAAAAACGGGGAGCTTAAGGGCTCTTTTCTTAAGAAGATCTTTATTACTATTAATTAATTATTTACCCTTATTATTTCATATAGTATTTAATTCACGAGAAAATATATAAAATCTCTTTTTTAAAAGTTATTAAAAGAAAGTTATATAAGAAGTTTTAGCTATAATTAGTATATTCTATTTCTCTAATAAATCTAATACCCCTATATAAGATCTTTTAATACTCTTGCTTCTATAATTACTAAGATATATTACTTAAAGGCGATTTAATTAATTAGATAAGAGAGTATATTTCTATATTACTAATTAATAAACTATAAATATAACTATTACTATTAGGCTAAAAGAGAATAAAATGCTAAAAATTATTATAAGTAAGAAAAGGGTAGGAATTAGAGAGACCCTAAGAAGTTATTTAGTTAAGAAAGGAGACTAATTATAAATATACCTTATTCTCTCTTAACCCCGGATTTCGAGATATTATTTAATTAAATTCCCTTAAAGAGTCGAGGCTAAGATAGACCCCTAGAATACCCTATAAAAGGCAAATATAAGGAGCTAAAAGTATCTACCTATTATAAATAAAAAGAGGAATAATAATAATAGCGCATAATTAAAACGGAAAATTATATTTCCTAATAAGACTAATAATTTAGCCTTACTTAAGATGCCTAGAGGACTCTTAACTAAGCGGTAATAAAAGGTCTTAATAATAGGAATTCTTATTTAGATAATTATAAAGAGTAAGGCTCTTATTACCCTTATCCTTATCCTTATAATATTTAAGGAAGCCTTTATAGCTAACCTATTCTATATTATAATAACTAAGAATCTTAAAGTAAGAAACTAGCCTTACTAAGAATTAATTAATTAAATACCTATTATTATAATTATTATTACCTTAATTATAAAGATAGCCTAGAATAATAAAAGCGCTAACCTCGGAAAGAGGTCTAGTAATATCTAAGGCTAGAACCTAGAGATAAGAGGTAATAAGGCCGCTAAAGGCAATAATAAGGTTAATAAACTCCTTCTTAAGATCCTAACTAAGGGATTAAATAGTCCCTCTTTTATTATCTCTCTTAACCCCCTCCCCCTCTTTAAGGGAAAAGATATAACTAAGTACCTCTAAAACTTTAATTAATAGGTAGAATTTATAAATATCTCTAAGGATAAGAAAATAGCTCTCTTTAAGTTATATATTAATTAGGAGATTAAAAGAGAGGCCTAATAAGCTATAGATAGACTTAATTAAGAAGCTACCTAAGAGAGCCTAAAAAAAGCCTTCATAAATAAAAATTCTAATTAATTAGAGATTATTAAGGAGAAACTAGAAATATTTAATAAAACCTATCTAAAAGTAAACTTCTATATTATTATTAAATAGCTAAATAAGTATTAATACCTCTTCTAATAGATTAATAGTAACTAGAAGATATCTAAGAGCTAATTTAAAGTAGTTTATAAAATACTCCCTAAGGAGATTATTAAGGGTATTTATAAAAAATATAATAAGAATATCCGCGAGCTTATAGCTATAGAGTATTATATATTTACCTAAATAATTAAATAATATTATAAAAATAAGATTAAGATTTAGAAGACTTATTACCCCTAGAGCAAAGAGGATACCTATTAGGTCACCTAGGCCCTAACTCCTCCTAGGAGCCTAAGCCTTTCCGTAAAAATAATTAAGACCCTAAAGATCCTTAAAAAAAAATCTAATAAAATAATAACCTTAAAGATTAATTAATTAATTATATAGCTTAGCTAATTTATAATTAATATAGTAAAGGGGTAAGAATCTTAATTATAATTAGCTTAGATCCTCGAGAGAGAATATAATAGGTATATAGCCTTAGGAGCGCCCTAGGCTTTTAAGATAAATATAATATTACTTAATTAGATATATAATAGCTAGAACTTCTATATAACTATAGTATATAGATCTAGGCGAGGTAGCTATTAGAATAATATAGTATATTAGTATTATAGCGGAAAAAATTACTTCCTAAGTAACTATATAAACCTTACTTATAATAAGAATAATAAGATTATAAATTATAACCTATAAGGTAGCGCGGCTCTCTTAGGAAGGTCTAATAAGATATTACCGCTAAACCTAGTCTATGCCTTTAAGAGGTTTAGGATCTATAAGTTAATTTATAATTAGCTAAGCTACTTCCTAAAATTAGATATATTTCTCTTAATTAAGAGGATAGAATAATATAACCGCGCGGGAATTAACTTCTAATTAACCTAATAAGAGAATATTATAATTAATAATTAAATTAAGAAAAACCCTAAGGCTATAAACCTTTACTAACTAGTATATAAGTCCCTAGTAGGGTTTAATTAATTACCTATAGATATTATAAAGGGAAACTAAGATATCTTAGATAATTAGAACTTACTAATAAGAGCTTCTATTAATATTATTTTAATTAATAAAGAAATTATACCTTTTAATCGCATTAGAAAACTCTAGATAATTATTATAATTATTATAGCTATTAATATTAATATAAGGAAGAGGGTTTATATTAAGGATATCGCTAAAGCCTAAGAAGTAATATAGCCTATCTAGAGGTCTATATTAATAGAGAAAATACCTATAATAAATAAAGAAAAAAATAAGAGATTTTAGATACTTAAAGAGAAATAGGCCTCTATCCTATAAGAGCTAAGAGATAAATATTAAACTAAGAAGATTTTAATTATAGCTAATAAGCTTTTTATATTATTATTATAACTTAGAAGAGAGGTAATAAAAGATTATTAAGATATTATTAATAGCATTAAATAGATTACTTATATTAAACCTACCTTATATATTACTAGAGAGACGCGAGGATTATTTAATTAGAAGCCTTAGGGTATAAATATAATTTAGATTAGTAAATAAGACTAAGGGGAGTTATACTATATAGAGATTAGCGAGAGAGCTAAAATAAATATAATCCTTATTAATAATAAGCCTTAAATTAAGCGAATTAATAAAGTTATAAAGGATCTTTAACTCGGCGATTATATTATTACTATTAATATAGGCATAAAGGATAAGGAAACCGGGACTATAGAAGTGCATTAAGATAAGGCAGAGGCTATAGGAGGGAGCGAGATTATTACTAAATATAATAAATCGATTAATTAGATAATTAATATTATCGAATTATCGCTAGAAGGTTAAGGTAAGGCTATTATATAGTTATAAGAGCTGCCCTGAATTCTAATCTAACTCGATAATACGGAGGGTAAGGTTATTAAGGCTATAATAGATATTAGTTCTAAGGGAAATATTATCTTAGAAGAACTCGCGAGGGTATATAGCCTTAAGGTTATAACTATAAGGGCTTCTATAATCTCTTTTTCCTAAGATAAGATTATTATACTCGGCTAAGTAATTATCTAGCTATACCTTAGAAATATATAGATCTAGTAAAGGATATATATAGTGCCCTCTAAGGGGATCTTAATTCTTTTTATTCTTAGTATATTATTTATTTACTTAGTAAGGGTATTATTTAATTATTTAACTAGGGATAATTCTATACTTTTTTATTATTAACTAGGTAATATATAAGTAATTACCCTTATTACTAGCTCTATTAAATAAGAAGTACTAAACTATAATATAAATAATAATATATTATTAAAATAAATATTAACCTTTTATCTAAACCTAAGGTTAATTAAGAGAGTAATTTAAGACCTAATAATATCCTAATATTATTATAATAATTAAGTTAAGAGTTAAGGGAGGAGGTAATTAATATTATTAAAATAAAGATAATTAGGTAATACTATATAGCCCTTTAAGATATAAACTATTTAATTAAAAGATAGGCAATAAAGAAATATAAGATATAAAAGAGAAAAGACCTACTTAATTAGAGTAAATTAAAAGAGATTTTAATTAATATTCTTTATAAAAAGAAGGGTATTAAGATCTACCCGAGGGATAATATCCTATTAGATAGCTCTACCCTAGAGGGTAACTCTAAATAAAAAGCTAAGAAATAGGAAAAAATAAAAGAAAAGCTTTAAAAAGATTTAAAGTACTAAGATTAAATTACGCTAAAGTTCTTAGATATTAAGTAAGGAACCTAGATTTATGAGAAATAACTCTAGGGACTAATTAATT